TAAAAACAAGCAATAACAATACCCCCTGCCCCAGTACTGGTTGAACATTTATAGTGTAATAGGCACAGTGCTTTCTTGAAAAATGGGAAATGTGAAGTGAGTAAGGTACTGTAAGAACCCACCGAGAAACTTGGTATGGTGGTAGGCACCTGTAATCCCAGCACTTGGGAGCTGAAGCAGGAGGATCACAGCAAGTTCAAGGCCAACCTGCGCTACATATCAAGACCCTGTCTCTAAATAAATAAATAGCGCAAGTGATTCAGTTTCTCAGATCTATGTGAGAACCCAAACTCTTATCCAGTAGGTTTCTGTCCAGTGGAGCAAGCTGTGAGTGGGCCCCCATCCCTAGGGTCCAAGACTAAGTTCCATGCTGAGACTAAGTATGATTATCATAGCCTAGAAAAGCTTTGAGGCAAAACCCCTTTCATCTCTCTCATTAGAGATTTAGAAAAATCTATATGCTATACTGTGCTAAGGCCCAGGAAGAAGTGGGGGTAGAGAATTTTGAAAAATATTATGAAATGAAGCCCTTACCAATAGCACACACACAGGAACAAAAACTAAGTAACAAAAAAAACCCAAAATGGCGCTGCATGCCAAGACAACAAAGCACTCAAGGAGGGTGTGGAGAATATCAGGCAGGAGTCACTGGCAGGGCGACAAGAGACAAGAGGGTAGAGGAGGGAAAGGTCATGCAGGCTGGGTGAGAGTGGTGGAGTAGAAAAAGCCAGATGGACTGGATCAGCCACTTATGAATTGGGTGACTCTCATAAACCCTATGCCAAGCACCATTCCAAGCACTGGGAATACAGTGATGATCAAAAGAGGTCATGTCTCTGTCCTTGCAGTTTGGTGAGAGGAGACAGATTTTTTTGTGTGTGTGGAATCGGGGATTGAACTCAGGCTCTTGCGCTTGCCAGGGAAGCGCTTATTCCACTGAGCCATCTCCCCGGCCCCTTAAATGGCAGAAGGATTTTTTTTTTTTTTTGGCTCCGAATGCCTTCAGGGCAGGTTTGGCTGGCTTGAGTTGTGGGGATCGAACCACAGCAACCTGAGCCTGACTGCTTTGTTGAAGCAGCCACTTAAAGAACTGAGCTAAGGGGAGGGCCCCAGAGGAGACAGATTTTATAAAATTAAAATAGCATCACTTCAGGTAGTGATAACTTCTTTGAAAATAAAAAGAGGATTTAGATGAGGAAAAGGACAAAAGAGGGAGGGAAGAAAGGAAAGTGAGATAACTATGTATGTATACAAGATGCCTTGGATAAATGTACTGTAGATTTTTGCTGGTCTATGGAAAGGAGCAGTTAATGCTTAACTTTTGTTTTCTTTCTCTATTCTTAATTTCTTATAACATTTTCCCCAACTTTGAATGCTTATGTCATGTAATCTAAACAACTAAGTTGAAGATAACACTATGCAATACAAAATATAGTGTTGATTTTGTATTATTTTGTTTGGTGAAATTCTGTATCATTTCTAATTTTTATGCCATTATTTTGTATTCTCTTTAAAAGATACAACAATGAGTTATCAACATTGTCAAAAAAAAAAAATAGAAAAAGAAAAAGAGGGTAAGGTGATTGAGCATACCACAGGCGATTTCAGCTTGGTCAGTCAAGGGCTTTCTAGGGTATCATGTGCAAAGGCACAAAGTCTGGTGGAAGGAACATTTTAGTGGAAGGAACAGTTAAGCAAAAGACTGAAAGGTGTTAGGCACAGTGGTGCAAGCCTACAATCCCAGAACTGAGGGAGGAGGCTGAGGCAGTAGGGTTTTGAGTTTGAGTCAACTTGTTAAGGCAACTTAGCAAGATCTTGTCTCAAAAAATAAAAAGGTTAGGCATGGTGGCACACACATGTAAGCCTAGCACTTGGGAGGCTGAGGCAGGAGAATCACTGCATGTTTCAGGCTAGCATGGGCCACGTAGTGGTTTAAGCAGCTTGGATTGCATAGTGAGCCCCCGTCTCACACTACCCCCCCCAAATAAAAATAGGGACCAGAGAGATAGCTCAGAGGCATAAGCACCTACCTGGCAAGCACAAGGACCTGAGTTCAATACCCAGCCCCACATGCTGTGCAGTCTGAGACCTGGGCACGCCATCTAGGCCCGGATGCGGATGCCTACCATGTGACCCCAGAACAGGGTGTGTTGGTACAAGCTGGTAATACAAGCAATTGAGAGGTTGAGCCAGGAGGATTTCTTTTTCTTTTTTTTTTTTTGCTCCGGATGCCTTCAGGGCAGGTTTGGCTGGCTTGAGTTGTGGGGATTGAACCACAGCAACCTGAGCCTGACTGCTTTGTTGAAGCAGCCACTTAAAGAACTGAGCTAAGGGGAGGGCCCCCAAAGCCAGGGGGATTTCTGTGAGTTTGAGACCAGCCTGGGGGCTACAAAAAGTGAGCACAAGGCCAGCCCAAACTGCATAGTGAGACCCTGTCTAAAAATAAATAAATAAATATATTTTTTTTAAAAAAAAGGAATAGGGGATATATCTCACCTTTGGGTTGGATCCTCAGTACTGGAAAAAAGTCCCCATCTAATTGATGTTAAGAATCAATAAGATTAGGCATACAAAATGTGAAGGGAAAGGAAAGCCCTGAGCTGGCCCAGATCCTGGAGGCTGGGGCTGGAGATGAAGTGGGGCATTTGGGTGGCTGGAAGAGGTAACCCTCCTTTGCTGGCTCCCTGCTTCCTCCTACCAGTTCATCCCAATGCCTGTGCTATATGGAATCTTTCTGTACATGGGGGTTGCAGCACTTAGCAGCATCCAGGTGAGCCCATTAAGATCACCTAACTACCCTGCTTCTGCCTACACTTGCCAATCCTCCTATTGCATCTTCCTGCCTCTCCTGGGCTCAGAGACAGCTGCTGTGCTCTGGCCCTTCTGCTCTGGGGGCTGGGAGAGCTGACAGTGACACCTTCCAGGCCCTGCTTTCCTTTTCCTCTCATTTCCCCAGTTTGTGAAGAGAGTGCAGCTACTGTTGATGCCAGCAAAACACCAGCCAGACCTGATGCTCTTGCGGCATGTGCCTCTGAACAGAGTACACCTCTTCACTGCCATCCAGCTTGTCTGCCTAGGTCTGCTTTGGATAATAAAGTCTACGCCTGCAGCCATCATCTTCCCCCTTATGGTGACTTGGGGCAGTGATGGGCAGTACAAGGGGTTTCTGGGAGACTCTGAGCTTGGGAGGGTGGCTGAGACCTCCAGGAGAGGATGACTCTCCTGTCTTGGTTTCCCTGGCTTTTCTTGATTGGAAATATTAAGTCCTCCCTCCCAAAAAAAGATGGGGGATACCTTTTTGCAGATGGACTAGTCCTGGCAGACCTGTTTAATTTCTTTTCCAACTTTTTTGGGCCAATGTATGAACCCAGAAGAAAACTAGGAGATCCTGGGAAAGGGAATTTTTGTTTCTCAGTGAAGGGTAACATAGGGGATGCACTGCAGTTGAGCAACCTCTAGGCCATTACTAATCTCTTAGGGCCTCAATTTCTTTGCCTGTATAATGGAAATATTTATTGTATCTACCTTACAGGGATGTTAGCCTTCTCTGAAATGATACTCAATGCTTAACCCATAGGAAGTGCTCAATAAAGATTAGAATTGTTAATGTTTCTACTGTTGTTGCTGAAAATCTTGGGTTTATTTCTATTCCTGCAGTTGCTGGGCTTGGTGGGTGTCCGAAAGGCACTAGAGTGGTTCTTCTCGCCACAGGAACTCCTCTGGCTGGATGAGCTCATGCCAGAGGAGGAAAGGAGTATTTCTGAGAAGGGACTAGAGCCAGAGCAATCATTTGGTGGAGATGAAAGCCAAGATGTGAGTATAGGCTTGATCCTCCCAGGGTACAGTTAGGGGTTGGGAGTGTGCTCTTGACCACAAGTTGTCTTTAAGAAAATTTAATACTTCTACTAAGCCTGAAAATCTGATCAACACAATCATTCCTCTAACCTGACTAGAATAGACAGAATGAAGGGGTAAGAGAAATTGTTCTTCATAGGGCCAGCACTCTAGTTTATAATCCTGTGGGGGTGGACAGTACTGGGCTGTAGGCTCTCTCAACCCTGATCTTTGTTTTGTCTTGTGGTGGATTTCTATCCTGTCTTTGATTGCCATCCTTATCCCCTTGTCTGTTTCTGTCTCTGTCTTTCTCTATACCCTACCTATTTTGAGTTCTCTCTTTCATAGTCAGAGCTGATGTATCAACCAAAAGTTCCAGAAATCAACATCTCTGTGAATTAGTTGGAGCAAGAGTCTGGGAGTGGAGACCTTACAAAACAGACCATGAGGTGAGAGTATAAGGCAAGTTAGTACTTCTGGTATTGAGAATGCAGAGGTGTGGACTCAGACCTTGGAAAACGCCTGCATACTGACCAGCTGTTTCCTCTTCATACTCCAGTTCCTTCTGAACCCTAGAGCTGGGGAGGAAATAGAAAGGTCTACTCAGAAGGAAGAATGAAATAGGCAGGGTACCTAGGCTTGACTCCCTGCCATTCTGAGATCACCAGTAGAGGGAGCGCCCGCTCACACCAAACAGGATGGTGAGATGAGGGCAGAGAAGAGGATGGCAGGGAAGAGCAATGACAAAGAAATGCACAGGAAAGAAGGGAGGGCATAAATCTCTGCTCTTTTCCCTTACCCAGGAGGTTCCTTTTAGGCTGCTGTGAACCACAATGTAGACAAGTGGAGGGATTCTTTATCCCTTGCCCTCTCTACCTTTCATTTTATGTAGCATTTTTCTGAGGTATATTAGATATACCTATTATAGAGTTTTTAGGCACTATAGATGCAGTAGTGAGTAGAAAAACCATAGCCTCTGACCTTGGGAAGCTTAAATCCCTTGGGAGAGTGAGACAGACAAATAGGCAAATCTTGGTGGGATAGTGCCAGATAAGGGAAGCATGGGGGAGCAGAGAAACCTCTAACCCCTTTTCAGAGAATAGTAAAGGTGGGATGCTTGAGGCAAAGGAAAGTGTCTAACAGGCAGTGGCCCATAATCTGAACAATGAATAACAGCTAGTGAATACAAGGTGGAGGGAAATATGTTCTATGCAGAAGTTGTAGCATGTACCATTATGTGGAATTGTTTGCTTTTGATAAGCTTAACCCTTTGTTTGGGCCCCAAAACACTCTCCTCTCCATGCCTATACAAGTTCAAGAATGCAAGAGTCCCTACTACCTGCAATGGAAAGTTGGCACTAGAGAGAGAAAAAGTAATTCGATGGTTGGCCTGGAGCAAGATTCTCTAGGCTTTCCTTAGCACCTAGTACTCCTTTGCTCTGTTCTTTGCTTTATTTTGTCCCTGAGCACTTGCTCTGGCCTCATGGTGTCTTCTCTCAGTTTGCAGGTGTTTACTCAGAAAGTTAGGACATAGTTCGCCTTTGACTTAGTTGCTAGATGCTCTTGGCTGAGGACCTGAAACAATTGCATAGAACTGAAGGACAGCTGGCAAAGACCCCAGTTACCTCCTGAGCTGGGAGTGGTGGGAGTGGCCAGGAGCAAGTAGGAAAGACTGGTGAGCCAGAGGGACTGACCAGTCCTTCTTCACTCACTCTCTGCCCATTAAAGGGACTGTTATAGCTTATGTTTATGTGTCCTCTCCAAAACCTCATGCCGTCCTAGGTGGTGGGTTTTAGAGGTAGCTTCATCTAGAGTGTGTGACTGATTCATGGTGCAGTTCTGGAACTGAGGGTGGGTGATTACTAAATCAGTCTACTGATTGGTTTGGTACCGCTCTAGTAGCAGTAGCCTCGATAGAGTATAACCAAAGGGGCATAAAAGAGCTGCTAAAATCTCTTGCTTGCTTTGCTACCTTCTGCCCACCATGAACTGTTTCTCCTCCATGATGCCGCTCTGCTGTGCACCATCCTGCCCTGGAACCAGCTGATTATGGACTGAAACCTCTACAAACTGAGTCAAATAAACTTTTCCTCCTTAACTTGGAGTGTCGGGTATTTTGTCTCAGCAATGAGAACAGTAACTAAGGCAGGGACTTGAGCCCAGAAGCCTTTGCATTTTGAACTTTCTTTCCCCAGATTCCATTTTATAAGATTTTGGGGTGGGTCATCTTTTCTATTTGCAAAAGGAAGAAAAAGACCCTCTTTCCAAAATAAGTACTCTTCTATTTGGAACAGATTTTTACACATATGAAAGTAGGTTTTAAAAATTTGTTTTGTTGGTGAGAAAGGTAAATGAGGTTACTGGAAAATATTGAAACATTACAGAAACATGCCTATGTACTTTTTGTGGTACTGGGAACTGAACAAAGGGTGCTCTGTGACTGAGCATTTTTGCTTTATTTTTGCAATACCAAAGGCCTAAACTCAGGGCTTTGATGCTGAGTTATATCCCTAGCCCATTTATTATTTTTTATTTTGAGGCAGGGTCTGTCTGACTTGTCCAAGTTGGGCTCAAACTTGCAATCCATCTGCCTAAGTGTCTCGAATAGCTGGGATCTCAGGAATGTACCATCATGCCTGGCTCAGAAATGTATAATTTTGAAATGGAAATCATCCTATAAATAAGCATGGTCTGCATTTTAGTGTGTCTTATTCAGATTTCTTTCAATGGTTATAATATTTTTACTAAAATAGCATTGCAGAGTTCTACAATATGTTTTTCACTTAGTATGCATTGAATATTTTCTTCATGTCAGCACATATGTACCTATCTCATTGATAAGTTCAAAAAGATATAATATCTATGAAAGAGTACATAAAATGTCTTCTGAAATGCAAGAATTACTCTGGGATATATACATAGGAGTGGAAGTTAGGAAAAACAATGAAAAGAAAACTTGTATTAACACTTTAGTTAATAAAGAGGATATGGGGGTTTTGCCAAATAGCTCAGTGCTTAAAGTGCTGCTTGGGCAAATGCAGTCAGGTGCATAGGACTGTGGTTTGATTCCCAGCTCCAGAAGCTGAGCCAGACCCACCCTTAAGGCAGCCTGAAGTAGCAAAAACAAACAAACAAAAAAACTTCTCAAATTTAGGGCCAGCCAAATAGCTCAGTGGATTAAAGCACCTGCTTAGGCAGATGCAGGAGCCAGGAGTTTGATTCCTGGGCCTGCCGTGCGGGTGCCAGCCCTGCCCCCTGGGGTACACTGAAATGTGACTGAGACTCGGCGTGGTGGCACGAGCCTGTAATCCCAGCACTTGGGAAGCTGTAAACAGGAGGATCACTACGAGTCGGATCTATGCAGTGAGACCCTGTAGACCATGTCCTAAATACAAAAATAAATAAATAAATAAACAGGATATGTCTAGTACCTATATGTCCTTCCCATGTTGCATCCTCCTAGATAAACACTCAGGTTGGAGATGTAGTTTAGTGCTAGAGCACTTGTCTAGTAGGTGCAGTGCTCTAGGTTCAATCCCCAGCACTGCAAAATAAAGTAGTAAACACTACCTTAAATTTTATGGAGGGGGGCTGGCCAAACAGCTCAGCAGATTAAAGCACCTGCAAACACATTCAAGGGCTGGGGGGTTTGATACCTGGGCCTACTGCGCCAGCCCTGCCCCAGGGGCGTGCTGAACTGTGACTGAGACTGGATGTGGTGGCACGTGCCTGTAATCCCAGTTCTTGGGAGGCTGTAAACAGGTGGATCACTATGAGGCCGATCTAGTAGTGAGACCCTGAACACCCCATAGACCCTTCCCTAAAACAAAAATTTAAAAAAAATATTTATGGAGGACTGGGGATGGCGGAACATGTCTGTAATCCCAGCACTCAGGAAGGTGAGTCAGGAGGACCACTGGAAGTTCAAGACCAGCCTGAGGTACAAACTGAGTTCAAGGACATCCTGAACTTCAGAGTAAGACCCTGACTCAAAAAGATTTTTTTTTAAAAAAGACACATTTTATGGTAATTATTTAAAAATACTCAACTCCTCTATATGTATCCTTATATAATAATAAATAATACTATAAAGATAATAATAACTATCATTGTTTGGTACTAGAGATTACCCCAGGGCCCTCACACAGAGCTACAACCTGAGCCCCTTTCATTTATTTCTTTGGTGTTTTGTTTGTTTTGAGACAGGGTCTTGCTGTGCAGTTTAGGCTGCTCTTGAACTCATGGTGATATTCTAGTCTCAGCTTCCTAACTGCTAGGATTATAGGCATGTACCTCCATGCATTTAAGAAAAAAAACTTTAAAACAGTTTTTGAGACAGGATCTTTGCCAAGATGCCCAGGCTGGACACAAATTTGGAATCCTTCTGCCTTGAGATCCTAGAGTACTGAAATTACACATATGCAACACCATGACCAGCTATTTTACATATTTTTGAATGTTATAAAAATGGAATCATAGTTTAAGAATTCCTCTGTGACTGCTTTACTTATTTCTGAGCTGACCCTGTGCTTTCCAGGCATGTGCTGTGCCACCAAGGTATATCCCCAGCCCTGTGACTGTTTCTTTCATTCAACATAGAATCAAGAATCAATCATGTTGGGCTGGTAAGATAGTTCAGCGGACTAAAGTGCCTGCTTAGGGACCGTGGTTTGATCCCCAGCAACACATGTCCCACCAGCCCTTCCCCCAGGGAGCCGGCCACAAAGTCCGGGCATGGTGGTGGAAGCATGCAATCCCAGTGCTGGGGAGGCTGAAAGCAGGAGAATCCCCATGAGTCTGAGCTGTGTAGTGAGACCCTGCAACAACCAAGTACATACATTTAAAAAAGAAAATCAATCATACATACAGTTGTTTATACAATTTCATTTCTTTGTAGCACTCCATTATATGATTCAACCATAATTCAGTTATCCAATTTCTATTGACTCAAAGAATGCACTGGCAAGGGCCAGCAAGATACCTTAGCAAACTAAGCTCAGGGACCGAGTTTGATGCCCTGCTCTGCTGCCCCACCTCAGACCCACTGAGCTGGCCACCAAGTCTGGGCATGATGGCACAAGCCTATAATCCCGGCACTTAAAAAAAAGAAAAAGTAAAAGAATTTACTGGTAAAATCACTGGGACCTGGTATTCGCTCTTTGGAAAGTTTAAATCCATTAAAATTACTTGATTTTCAGACTTTTTATATTATTCTTCATCCAGTTCTGGCAAACTATATTTATCTAGTAATCTAATTTTACTCTGAGTAATGAATTTGAAGGTAATGTTGTATATAATGTATAAACCATTGTTACCCTCCTATTACCTTGTTTTGAAATTTTATTTTTTTCTTTTTAAAATAAAATAAAATAGCTTTAATAAAGGAATCTACTTTTTGCCCTTTTTTTCTTTGTGTGGAGCTGGGAGTAGGACCCAAGTTCTTGTAGTTCTCTACTAGTACGCTAAATCCCCAGCTCTGTGATCTATTCATTTTCTATATGTCTTTATCTATTGACAAAGTTAGTAATAATAACCCTTATCTATTTACTTGCCAGCATATTTGGCAGCTGTATTTTCTGTATTCCTTTTTTTTTTTTGTACTTAGGACAGGGTATACAGGGTCTCACTGCGTAGATCAGAAGTAGTGATTCTCCTGTTTACAGCCTCCCAAGTGCTGGGATTACAGGCACCACTCCCAGTCTCAATCCCTGTCTCAATGCATCCCAGGGGCAGGGCCAGCATGACAGGCCTGGGGATCGAACTCCCTCCTGCGTCTGCCTAAGCAGGTGCTTTAACCCACTGAGCTATTTGGCCGGCCCTCTGTATTACTTTGAATGCTATTTATGTATTCTTTTATTTAAAAAAGAAAACAATTTCAAAACAAGATAATAGAGTAACATTAATACATTGAGTATTGTTATCTTCAGAGTATTTACTTAGAGTATGAGATATAGGCATGAAATATTGCCCAAACAGTATTAGTGCAAATCTTTCTTTTCAATGAACTAAGAGAAACTAGCAGTATAACTCTCCTAACTATCTTGTATATAAATATATATATTTTTTTCCTTTTCTCTTCCTTCCTTTCTCCTTTTCTCCATACTTTCTCTTTTCTTTTGAACAGTTTCTTCCCAATTCACAGTATCCACTGTACATTTTGGGCCCTATTTACTCATTCAGTTTCTTATACTAGTGAGACCACATGATGTTTACATATGTGGGTCTAATTTATTTCAGTTATGAGTCTGGTTTCAAGTTGGATCCATTTACCTGTAAAAGTCTCAAGTTTATCATTTTTATGGCTGAATACTACTCCATTATTTAAAAACCTCATTATCTATTCTTTAGTTGATGGGCATTTGGGTTTGCATTCTCTGTCTCTGTCCACCTCCCCCCCCCCCTTTGTCTTTTTAAGGCAGGGCTTCACTATGCAGTTTAGGCTGGCCTTGAACTCACTTGGCAGTCCCTGCTGGTCTTGAACTCACATCAATCCTTCTGCCTCAGATTCCAGAGTGCTGGGATTGCAGGTGTGCCACCACACCCAGCTGGGTTGCATTCTATTTTTTGTGTTGTTGTTCTTGGTTTCTCCTATCAGTCTATTTTATTAGTGTTCAAAAATTTTACTTTTTCTAGTGAATATAGTACTTTCTACTTTATTGGTTTCTGTTCTTCTCTTTTCTGTTATTTCCTTCCTTCTGTTTTCTTTAGATGTATTCTGTTTTTCTA